TCTTTCTTTCTTTCTTTCTTCAAATAGAGTCTCACTCTGCCAGGGTTGGCTTTGATCTCTTTCTTTTTTTTCTTTCAGATAGAGTCTCACTCCCCCAGGACTGGCTTTGAACTTGTGATCTTCTTTCTTCTGCTTCCCCAATAGCTGGTCTTACAGGCACACATCACCAAGCTCAGATCTAAGAAATCTGAAAAACTGTACCACAAAATTCAAAATTTACCTTTTTCTTTTCAGTACTAGGGTTTGAACTCAGAGGCTCATGCATGCTAGACAGGCACTCTACTGCTTGGGCCACACTGCCATCCCTTTATGCATTGGTTATTTTCAAGATAGAGTTTTGCCTTGTGCTCAGGCTGGCCTACAGTGCAATCCTATTTGTGATTCCCCACATTGCCGGAATGACAGACATTCACCACCATGCCCTGCCATTGGTTGAGATGAAGTCTTATAAACATTTTGTGCCTAGCTAGCCTCAAATCATGATTCCCTCAATCTCCGTTTTCTGCTTTTATAAGTTAGCTGAGATTGCAGGCTTGGGCCACTGGACTTGTCTCAAAATTTATCTTTTTGTTTCAGAGAGGGAGTGTTTTGAAAACAAGGTATCAGCTGAGATTGGACTTTGAACACACTATGGATCCCAATACTAGCCTTGAACTTACAATACTCCTCTCTCAGCCTCCTGAGTAGTGGGATTACAGACATGCATACCATACCCATCATTTATGATCATGCTCAAGTGTATGCCTTATCAGCATTAGATACATTTACAATATTAATCTCCCCTTTACCACCATGTATTTCCAGAACTTACTATCTCAATCAGAAGCTCTGCTAGTAAGAATTTCTAGTTTCCCATTCCCTCCAGCTGCAACTATTCTCTATTCTACTTTTTGTCTCTGAATTTTTCAGTTCAAGTACCTCATATGAGTGGAATACAATAAATGATCACATATGTTTCACTATATGTATTCTTTGTGACTAGCTTATTTCAAGAACATAATATTTTTGAGGTTCATCCATGTCATAGTCTGTGTCAGAGTTCCATTTCTTTTCATGCATCTATAATATTCCTTTCTATATACATACTATACTGTTCATCCATTCATCTGCTGATGGCCACAAATGTTGTTTACACCTTTTGGCTTTTTTGCTTAATGCTGCTATGAACATTGGCATAACTTTTGTTTAAAAAAAATGGGTCAATATATTTAATTCTTACAGCTCCAAGTAGTAATGCACCTTTTTTTCTTCAATTTACGGAAAAAAAAAATAATGGAGCTGGTAATAAGGAGGCCAATATTCCTACCTGGAGTTTCTAATTATACTGTACTCTGAATAAATACTGTGCTGTCCTTAATACAAATATTTGTTCTTTTTTTCCTTGAGATTATTATATCCTGGATACAACATATGCATTATTTCTAAGTCCTGAAGACAGCTTTATAAGAGAAAGGACTATTATCCTATATATAAAGCCATTAGTGCTTGGAGAGGTGAAATGGTGTTTACAGAAATGTCCCCAAGTTGTACTTGTCTTTTTGAGTTCACAAAGTCATAATGCATCAGGAACCGGAGACAGCCCAGTTTCTTCTGGATTGACCAAAGGATAGAAGCCATCCCTGAAGCAGAACTCAGGCTCACTGTTGGATGGGATGAGGGAGGACTGGGATTCCACAGCTATAGAGAAGTTCTAACTTGGGTTCCATATGAGACCAGGAGTTTTTTTCTATTAATAAAGAAAGAGACTTGTGCAACAGAGATAGAACAACATGGTCTATTCTTTTGTTTGCTAAATTTGGAAAATATGCCAAAAAGAAAGTATTCAAATTTTACACAAAGAAAACCAAGCATCCACATTTGCCTAATTGATGAAGACTGACTCTCACAACATCTGAATCATGTAGGTATTTATATCACATTTTGCTTCTGTGGAGAAAGTGAATGTCCACAGAACTTTGGGCAAAGTTCTTTCTCCACTTTTGGGACTACTTGTGCCCATTGGTGCTTTGAGACTCAAAACTTTTTCCTGTCTGGTTAATTTTGTCTCCACTTTTGTTTCTTATAGCTAGCACACAAAGATACTTCAGATTGCCATTTCACAAAAGATTGAAAATTACCAGTGTGTATAACCATGGTGATTTTTCCTTCTTTGGGTTTGCAGCCTGGGAAAATGGAAGATAACATACCTAACCAAAGACAGCGGACTATGTCAACAACTGGAGAAGCTCTATACGAAATCCTTGGTCTGCAGAAGGGAGCAACAAATGAAGAAATTAAGAAAACCTACAGGTACAGAGGAAGTGCAGTGATGACATTTCCTGAGCTTCTGGTGATAGTTGTTTTGTGACTGGCAAGTGGCTCTGGTTAGACATAAGCTTCTTGTGGACACCAAGTAGTCTGAATTTTTGACACCAAATGTCCTTGTCTGCAACATAGACAATTAGGAATAAACAGACATAGCAATGATTTTATGAATCAATCAATTTGGTGATGGCAGCTAGGACTTAGGAAAGGATACCCTAGTGTTGTGGATCTGTAAGGTCAGAGCAGAAAGAGGAAGGAAGGGAGAGAGCAGAAGATGGGAAAGGAGAGAACCAATTACAACCAATAGCTGTGATTTAATTTACATGATATAGCATCAGTGAATCTGGAGGAAGGATGTTTCAGTAAGAGTGGATTTGTTCCTAGCCACTATCCACCAGGGTGGATTTAACACACTATTCAAGCTCTAACTTTGAAGTTTCATATCTATCTAGTCTAATTCTACATTAGCTACATTTGAGAAAAATAAAAATATCCATTTATCTAACACTTAGAAGAATAATATATATTTCAGGCTGGGAATGTGGCTTAGTGGTAGAGTACTTGTCTAGCATACCTGAAGCCCTGGGTTTGATTCCTCAATACCACATAAACAGAAAAGACTGGAAGTGGTACTGTAGTTCAAGAGATAGAGCGTTAGCCTTAAACAAAAAGAAGCTTAGGGACAGTGCCTAGGCCCTGAGTTCAAGCCCTGGGATTGGCAAAAAAATAATACGTTGAAATATATATAATAATATCTTGAAAAAATATATTAATGCAAAATAATTTATTATAGAAAAAAATTAAATTAAGGTTATAGAAGTTTAAGGTGTTTGAGTAGGCAAATTTTTAGCTATTTATGAATTAAAAAAAATTACCTGGTATGGTTTAAAGCCTCTTTTAATAACACTGTTACAAAAAAAATGAGCTCTTACCTTATTACATTTATGATTCTGCTTTTACATGACATATCGATCTATATAGATTTTATTTTGGTGTAAACAAAACTTTTAATAAACCATAAATAAAGGAATAAGATAGGATTCTGGGTTTACTTTTTTCTGAATCACTAGCTCCCCAGTATTTATTGAATTATCTATTTTTATCTACTAATGGCACATCCATTGGCCTTTAATTGAATTTCACCAAGTGATAAAACTATAGAGCCTAAAATGCCTTCAAGAAACTTGTACTGAAGAGTAAATGACAGAGATACAACTGCCTTTCTGTGAAAACGTTGGGATCTGGCTAAAATCAATATCAGCCTTGCAGCTATGTCTCCCTCAGGGCTCTAGACAGAGAAAAGTGCCTGCTTTTCATTTTTCCCTATTGGGAGGTAGGTGGCCCCGCCCGCTGCAGACAAAGGTCCTTGCTGAAATCTAGATAAGAATCAAAGCAATTGTGTCCAAATGGACAGAAAATGCTCCAAAGGGAAAAGTATGCTAGACTACCTTGTCATTCTTTGTGTGTTGTTGTTGTGGGGGGGGGGGCTTTGTATGGGGTGGGAGCACCTAACCTGGGTTTTGAACTCAGACCCTGTGAGCTGTCCCTGAACTTTTTACTCAAGGCTAGCACTCTTCCACTTGAGCAACAGCTCTACTTCTGGGTTTTTGGTGGTTCATTGGAGATAAGAGTTTCATGGACTTTCCTGTCTGGGCTGACTTTGAACTACAATCCTCAAATCCCCACCTCCTGAGTAGCTAGGATTGCAGACAGGAGCCACGGGTGCATGGCCCTTACAATTCTTAAAACTCACTTTACGAATTTGACTTTTAACTGTCTTTATTAATTTTCAAAGTTAAAATTTCAGGTCATATCCTAATTGGGGCATTAATTATGCTGGGCTGTTTGCAAGTTTAATAATTACAACATAAATCTTTCCATGTAATCAGTGTCTTGCTATTAATTTTGTTTTAATGTCATACAAATATTATTTTTTCAGCTGATTAGGGTACTAGTATGCTGCCAAAAGCATCTATTTCTATCTAAATTACACATTTGTATTCTGCAAGTTATTCAAAATGTATGAGCAAGCTGCAAATCCACTGAGAATATTCTTCTTATATTCTGAAATCTGGATCAAAGCAGAGACAACATGGTGGAATTAAAATTCAGTGAAATTTAATAAAATTACCAACTCTTGAATCCATTCACAGTTTGACCTCTCATAGAATTTTTGGTTGTTCTGTTGGAAATAAGATTGAGTTAAAAGCTTCTTTTTCTTCTTCTTCTGAAAATCTCCTTTATTATATCTTTACTTATGTGTTTATTGTGCCAGTACTGGGGCTTGAACTCGGGGCCTCACATTCTTACTTAGCTTTTCTTGCTCAAGGCTGGCACTCTACCACTTGAACCACAGCTCCACTTCTGGCTTTGCTGGTTAATTGGAAAGTAGAATCTCAAGGATTTTTCTGCCTGGGCTAGCTTTGAACCATGGTCCTCAGTCCCAACTTCCCAAGTATCTAAGATTTCAGGCATGCGCCACCAGAGCCCAACTTTGGCATCTTCTTTATATTATATTTTAATTTTGTGGAGATATTATAGTCATTTGATTAAAATAAAAATATACGACTAGTTATCCAAGAAAGTCTCCCTCTTACTTCTTATTCCCCAGGTCACCTCCTCAGGGGAAACAGTATTATCAATTGTTTACATATCCTTCTAAAAAACATCTTATGCTTACCTGAGCATATATAGAGACCTTCTAGTCTGAGAAAGACTGAGTAGACTTATTTCTCCTGGATAATCATAACTCTAATCCTTAGAAAAACAATAGAAAAGACAACCAAAAGAGAGCTCTGACAGGAAAAGGATAGTAAACTGGCTATGGACATCGCATTAAAGGAACAACACAGTCGGGACATCTTATGACCCCTCTCCCTTCACCCATCTGGGCTTGTCCTTTCCTATCATCCAATTTAGAAATCCTCCAGGGAGCCTTGTGCTTCTTCCAAATTGATCAAAAGTCCCCCAACAACATTAGATAAGCCATGCAGAATAGCAAGAAGGGTAATGCTTTCTTTTTTCACCAGGCTGATACATCCCTCTCCTATCCACAGACCTCATCTGACAAAGGACATTAATAAAGGGGATTCCATTACAACAGGCACGAGCCAGTAACTGCAGTAGAGGCACCCAGCTTAGTGAAGTTCCTGTCAGCTCCTCAGATACTATCACCAGGTACCTGGAGGCTCAGAGGCAAGAGGCAAACCTTACAGATCAAAATGTCACTAAGGGGTCTGAAAATGATACTACCAGTGAAATTACCCAAGAAAATAGGATGAAACCTACAGAGTTCTATAGAAAACAGCATTTCCTAGCATAGGAATAGAGCCAGAGTTCCTTAGAATAATAGCAAAATGTCACCATGTAATTAAAATCACCCATCAAGAGAACCAAAAAAATCACAACTTAAATGAGAAAACCATTATCTGACTCCTACAAAGACATGAGACAGATTCTAGAATTCTATGACAAGTGTTCAAAGTAAGCATCATAAAAAAGATTTAGTCAACAGTTACAAATTATTTTGAAGCAAAGAAAAATGCAGAAAATCTAGTAAATAAGTAAAAGTTATATACAGAAAAAAAAGTTAAATGTATTCATAAAAGTGAGAAATAACATTAACTTGACAGTAGAACAGAGCTGATGCAAGGTATGATCAGTAAGATTGAAGATAGAGCAATAAAATTTGCCCAATCTGAACAACAGAGAGAAAGTCAGTCTAAGCAAACTTTGGGACATTCACAAAATGATTCAGGATTATGTCATGAGAGTCTTGGATGAAGAGGGAGAGAAAGAACAGAACTGTAAGAGTACTTGAAGAATGAATAGCTGAAAACTTCCCACATTTGACAAAAGGTATAAACTTACAGATTCAAAAAGCAGACATTTAAACTGTAGGAACTTTTTACTTATCTCCTGTTAGCTGTACCAGTCAGTGATAAAGTAGAATTACAAGTTGTATAGGCTTTATTGTTTATTACTGGTTTATGACCTTAATAAAGTGTAATTATGAATAACCAGCAGGGTGTTTTTAACTGTGATGATTGCATAAAAAAATCTCAAAATCCAGAAGCACATGAAGTTTTCAACTTTCCACCCTGCCCATTTTTGTAAAACTGCAACCATCTTGGGACCTTTTAACACACACACACACACAAACACACACACATTTAAACTCAACCAAGCTGTAATAAGTGTAATGGTAACTGTTTATACTGTGGTATGTTTTTGATTATGCAAGACAATGAATGCTTTCTTTTCCAGTTGTCTTTGAGAATAAAGGAGAAAGAAAATCTTCAGATGCAATGATTTTGTGTAGCATCTTGTTTATCATGTTTTGTAAATAATGAAGTAGCTTTGACCAATTCAATTTAGAGATGGACTGTAACTTTGCTTACAAAAATTGCTATTAAACTCCTGCTTAAGGTGTTCTAATTTTTTGTGAGCACACTAAAAGCAAAAAAATAATGTGAATGCAATGTAACAAAACAACAAGAACAAAAACCAACAGCAGAAATACTGAGAAGATGAACCCAAAGAAATCTATGTCAAAAACAAAAAACAAAAAAAAAAAGAAATCTATGTCAAACACAACAGAAACTCGTGAAAATTAAAAGCAAGGGAAAAATCCTGAATGCAGGTAGGCCAGGGAGGAAGGATGCCTTACCTAGAGGGAACATTAATTTGAATGACAATATATTCCTTGTCTGAAGTAACAAAGGCCCGAATGAAGTGGGGAAAACATTTTTCAAGTGCTGAAAAGCAAAGAATGCTCAACTACAAATGTAGTAACTGGTGAACTAAAGCTCAGGAATTAAGGGAAAATTAAAAATTCTCAGATAAAGGAAATCTGAGAGAACTTGTCACTAGCAGATCTAATTTTATGAATGATTTAATGAAGTTCTTGAAAAGAAAAAGAAATGATAAATAATCTTGACTATGAGGAAGGGAAAAAACAATGAAGGAGTTATAAATTTGGGTAA